CAGGACAGAATAGCAGCGTGACACAGTAGAAGAATGTGGCTGTGTTTAGTTGATTGTAGAGAACTGGAGACCCTTTTTACTGGTAACGAGGCATTCCATTATAGTCCTCAGTGATGACAATATAATGCGTTTGATTGCTAATTCATGGTAGATGTTGATATCTAAGGGCCACATCATCCACTTATGATCAGGTAAACTAGTGCTAGTTTGTCATCCTACGTCTGTTAAAAAAATTGTGTTGTTACAATCGGAATGATATATATATATATATGAGTGTGTGTGTGTGTTGTGTGTATTTTATTATTTAAGTGATAAGTAATATCGTAGGACAGTGGTACGCGCTTGCCGTATATTTTACAGTACGCGGCGAGAAACCCGACTTCGATCCCCGCCGGCACCAAAATGTAATTGCATTTTTAAGTGCTGATTTACCACATGCTCGGCGTTGAAGAAAAACATTGAGGAAACCTAAATGTGGACAAAAATGTCTTAGCAATATAATATTTCGATGACCTGTGAAGTCTACCAACAGGCATGGAAACAGCGCGGCGGAAGACCACTCTATAACCCTCCCAAGAAATAGAAGACCTGTTTCTAGTATTAGTATATAGTACGTAGTAGTGACGTATATATGCAGACTTTACTTTTTACTTCACTAAGTAATATGGCAGTAGATTACAGTGTAGTGGCGATGTAAAAGAATCAGTCAACTCTTTCGTCCCGTGGTTAATCGTAAGAGGTGACTATGGGAATATGCCACAAAATCTAACGGTTTCTGAAGTCCCTTTTGAAGAATTGATGGATAGCGGTGCAGATATTTTTATAGGAAAAGGGTGACAAACGAGCACACAGTCCACCTGATGGTCGCAGGTGAAGTGGTCGCTGTGGCCCATAGACATCTACATCTATCCTTGTTTGCGAATCAAAATGCAGATACGTTGTCAGCCTTGAGGATTAAGATGGAATGCCTCTTTTCCAGTAAAAAGGATCTCCTGTTCTCTACACTCACCATATCAAACACAGCAGCGTTAAGCTGCTATTTGACGCTGGTATTCTATGATAGCGTGGTCCTCCCCAGTCTAGCCGACCCATTCGTGCTACAACTATACAATTAATATAGCGATAAGATGCATCTTGCCGATGACAGACAGACGAACAAAACATCTGATACTGCAATGCTCAAACTGCTACTAACCGTGACATGACCTTTAACATGCTAAATTGAGACTATTTGGTATAGAATTTAACAAGGATGGTAATAACTCCTAATTGTCATCATCATCATCGTTTTTACAGCCCATCATAAGTCTATTGCAACACAGACCTCCCTCCAAAAGCACGTTCTTGACCTGAAATAACCTATCGACTCGTGCATCATCATCTTCAAATCGTCTAGAGGACATTTTTTTCGACATTGCAATTCCTTGTATGAAGCTGCCATTTGATTAGAGAAAAAACTGATATTGTAATTTATAGTGAAATCTAAAATATTTCTTTCGATTGATTTATTACCATGGACATCGATCAGCTACAGTTTTATTTACGACGGGGAAGTGCGAGGCATAAAGAATTAGAAAATACGATTAGAATTCATTACTCGTTTCCTTGTGTGACACGTTTAATGACTTTCTCCGGTTCACACTTGTTTTCCATTGGCGGTTGACTTGATCTTCGTCCGACTAATAACGGTAACGTTTTCGATAAATGTTGTATGTTTGGAGATTTTCTTTGCGTTTACGATGGCCACAAATTGCCACATAGACAATAGGCGTAGACTATCCTTAACTAATGTTTATGAATTACATACAAGATTTATACATTGAAGACAAGTGGTAAAATTAAAAATGTTGTACAACCGACTTCAATATAAATAAAATGAGAATATCATCAATGCAATTGGAAGTCAATTAAATACGCATTATTAAGGATAACTCAAAAACTACTGGTCAGATCTTGATCAAATTTATAATAGAACCACATGAGAAGCACTAGCTCTCAAGTAAAAAGAATCATCAAAATCGGTTCACCCAACGGTTTAAGTTATTAAAAACATACAGTCGAAATGAGTACCTCTTCCTTTTTGAAGTCGGTTAAAAATAAAATCACACATCAAAAACTATACTTATGTTTTACAAAAGACATATGTACATTAAAATTACCTACCAATTTTATTTTATGTATAAGAAAACACAGTTGTGTATAACCAATAGTTATTATTCATGTCTATATAAATATAAGCTTATAACCATTACAAAGTTTTCATATGATGTAGATTTAAGTAAGTAATTATGAAGATAAAATGGTTGAGTCGCTTGCTAAAGAAGTTCCCCCAAATAACATGAGATTGAGTGTTAGGAAATATTTTCACATTTCTAGGGTATGAAAATCTAAAGACATAGATTCGACCTATTTATGCTGCAGGTTCAATACGTTTGCAACGTGGCTTCATCACGCAAAATGTAAAGTTAACTGTACAAGGCGTCTGTAGCCTTCTTTAAGTTACTTGAAGTTGTACATGGGCTGCGGTAGCCACTTACAGGTGGGCTCCAAGATCGTTAGTCTCTACAGTTTGATAAAAAAAGTAGATCTAAGATTTTGAATGATACTATTTTTTTATTATTTAGTAAAAAACAAAAATAACATAAAATAATTAATCTATACAAATTTCTGTTCTTCAATGTGTGAAGAGTTTGTCACCACAACCCTTTATTTTGTGGCGGCGCTGCGAGTCTCGAGCTTATTTTCCACACGAAACGCGTTTTTAAGTGTAAGTTTATGTATGGCCTAACGATAAATCTTCAGTTTAGGTGTTTGTCCATGTGCGATTTTTGAATGTACAACGTCTCCATGACAGTGCTGAGGTAATTCCCCATTGCCTCATTCAACCACCGCAGTTATTTCATTTTTAATTTTTCTTATGAAATCTCTGCTGCCCATGTCCTAATTTGTTTCCTTTTGTGGCTTCTTTATGACAAGTAAGGGACGATAGTATATCCTATACTTACACGATAACAGAAATAAATGTCCAATTTTATAATCAAATATTTGAATAATTCCCATATATATCAAAACGGTTCGTATTTCCTTACAATCCATTCTGCAGTGCAGTAAGTACATAAAAAAAACCTTATCAGTACTAATACCACAACTTATTAGTAACTATCTAAAACTTAGACTCATTCGAGTTGTTCCATTTTGGTAAACTAATAGTTTATAAAAATGTTTTAGTGTGCACTTCGTTTAAAATATAACGGATTGTAACGGAGTACGAAACGTTTTTCGAATGCAGGAATCGGTATAAATAAAATATGTTATACAAACTGCTTATAATCGTAAAAAGTTTATCTCTAATTAATTAAAAAAATATTTCGCTTTCGATTAAAATTATCACAATAAAATCATGCTTTTATCAATAAGTGATTGTCAGTTTATAGCACAAATAATATAGTGAAATAAATGCTTACCTTTTCCGTGTTCAAGCTCGTTTATGAGCGGTGTGCAGGTCACCGTTATGGTCACCAGCAGGAGCACGACCGTCCGCGACCACATCTCCATGGCTACTATGTTGGATTTCGTCTTGGACTGACGGTCAGCGCGTCAAAGACCGCATTGATGCGCATACACAGCCCGTTCCTAACTTATAAGCTCTATTTTAATGCCGATTTTAAGTATTGTTGTAAAGCACATGATAAGTAGAAGTAGCATAGGACTAAATATGTAAACATGAAAAATCTAAGCGAGTTTCCATAGATTGATTTATTTTTAGGGGACAATATAACAACTTAAAAAAGTTTTATCGCGATGAGAATATTTAATTTGCTCGTAACATAATAGCTTCTGAAGTCGGGGCTTCTTTACACCGACTTCTGAAGCTACGTACATAATGTGGACATTATTTTATTCTTTTTAGGTTGTTGAAGTCTGCTTGTAATTTTTATTAAAAATATATTTTATATATTGCGTGTTATCACAGCATATTTGTATCGCTGGAAAAGCTTTCTGAGAAGAGAAAAGTTATATTTACCCATAAAATAAAATACTTCTTTTACGTCGGCTACTTTTTATTAAAACTCAATTTTTTTATCCTTTTGATTGGACTCAGGATTATAACTAGTTATAACGTCGTCTATATAGATAATAAAAACTTCAGCTATTTTTCACTCTTAGGGGTTTCCAACCCAATTCTCTACTTCGTGTGGTGAGTGTCTCTACACTTGAGTTATTATTATTATTGATTTTGTAACCGGAGACCCCTTTTACTGGTAACGAGGCAATTCATCTTAGTCCTCAGGGATGACACATCATCTGCATTTTGATTCTTAATTGGGGGATAGATGTAGATGCATTATAGTAGAATTATCAGGTAGACTGTGCGTTAGCTTGTCACCCTTATCCTTTAAAAAAAAAGAACAAATAGTCGAACTGAGAACCTTCTTCATTTTTCGAAGTCGCTTAAAAATCTGTATTTTATTGAAGATTTCCTTGTTTTTTTTTTAATTAATTAACAAAATATGTAAATTCGAACGAGACCATAAAAGCTACGAAACAAGCGTCACTGCGCCTTTCATGTTTGTTTTGGAACCAGAATGACAACCTTCCTCCTTAACGTAGTGAAGGCGCCATGACCGGTCATTGCCTCTGAATTGCAGTTATTTCATAATGCAAACAAAACCAGCCATCATATACAAATGTTTACGATATTTTTAAACGTTAACTACTAAAAATGTTTTATAATATTACTATATTGAATAAGATATAAACAGTATCTTAGGAATATTGTGCTGATTTTGTTTTAATTCTTGGAAGTCAATGTCCTATGGTAATAAAATACAAATCAAATTTTTTTACTACTAAAGAGAATAATGTTTATATTTAGCTCTCAACGCTTATTTTGTCAGGCGAATTTAATATTATATAATCTGTAGGTATTACTAATTAATTTTTAGGGTAATACATCTATAAAGGTAAATGCCAAAGAAAGCACAGAAAATTGTCGAAAGATGAAATCGAGGCCTTTCTCCGCCGGAGTTATTGATTCTAAGAAAAGAGAAGTCGCAAAGGCACAAAAACTGGCAGGAAATTCTCCGAAACGAAACGCTAGCTGTAAACATGAAAATCTAATAGAAGAGCTAAAAGATACAAACGAACGGGTCAAGGCTCTTGAACTATTGAATGTACAACTAACAGATGACAATAAATTGCTTCGAAAAAAATTAGATCAAGTTAATGATGAAAAACATATTGTAGATTTAAAATTAACAGAATGTGAAAAATTCATAAGTAAATTATCAAGAGAGTACGAAAACAGAAATTCGGAGGTAAAAACGCTAAAGGAAAATGAAAATAGAATAAAGTCGGAGTTAAATAAAGAACGAAACGAAAGGAAGAATTTAATTACACAACATGAAAAAGATGTCGTTGTTATTCAGGATCTTCAAAGACAGGTTAAAGAAATGGAAATGATTTTAAAACGCAAGCACCCAGATTCAGTTTCTGCTTTGATAGGTATGGTTATTGTTATTTCTAGTTTGATATTCGTTTTATTGTTACTTGACTTTTATTTTTGAATTGAAAATATTTTAGTAGCTTCAAAGTCATCGGCAGTTGAAGATAGTAAAAAGAAATTGTTAGAGGAACGCATCGCCCGATTAGAACAAGAGTTGAAGGATAAAGAAAATCACTTTCAAAGCATACTTATAACGTTACAAGAAAAGTTCAGTGGTATGAAACAGAAATACGAAAGTCATATAATTGACGTTGAAAGGCAACTAATGGAAGACCGAAAAGTTAATATGGATTTTAAAAATAAAGTCAATAAGACAAATGTAAAAGATGCGGCCGTTCAAACTTTGACTGAGTCCCGACATACTGTGGGAACTCAAACGTTTCTAAAACCAGACAGAGCTTCTTCAGCTGTGAGTCGAATGTCGCAAAACTCTGCATTGTTTTTAAACAAGTTAAAAGAAGACAGCTATCTCATTGCTACCATAAAAGGATTGCAAGCAGAATTGACCTCAAAACAGCGCACTATCTCTAAAATTAACAGAGAAACTGAAGAACTGAGAAAAAATCTACGAAATTTACAAAAAGAGAAAGAAGGTATGTTTTCTACCACACTTAGGTTTAGTTCTTCCTTAAATCATTACTTGTTTATAGATTTAATTATAAGCTTTCTAATCTCAGTGCTTACCCAAGTTTTCTTTAAATTCACGAAAACATTCGTGATTACTTGTTCAGCCTTTCAACCTTTTACTCAATATATTTATTTGTTAACTTTTAACCACGTCTTCGTCCGCATGAAATTTAAACATAAAACTTGCATATCTACAATAGTTATAAGTAAGTAAGTAACTCTGTTTAGACTACAAGTAACTCGAAAACTATGTGCGATATGGGAACATAATATTCAAATAAATATTTAAGATCTATTAATTTTACGTAAAAGAGCATATCACCTTATGCTATACAACAGGCATATTTTAATGTAAATTGAATGTGTTAAAAAATGTTAAAAAACGATTTTGCATCAAAGCTTTAAGAGACAAGCAGGAAGAGAAGATAAAGGCTTAGGGCCTTTTTGTGTATTATAACAAAACAAAAAAGTTTTATTCGATTTGTATATATATATATATATAACATATTTTATGAGATATACATTTACAGTTTTTCAATTTCACAAAAATATCCTGCATGTTTTTGGGATAAAATATAAAAACATAGACTAAATCACCTGAGCAATACCAGGGCTCTCATATCTGTTCGTGAAGTTTCATTAGAATTGGTTCAGATATAAATTATCTTACTATCTTATATATTATATAGCTACAGACAGAGTCTTTTACATGTATAGATAATACAACCATTTCATTTGTTTTTTATGATAGTGTTACTTAATATACACCCACAAAAGAAAACACAATGCAAGCCGACTAAATCGGTCGAAAATATATTCGCTAAAGTGAATACGGAACTGGAAGCGGAACTTTCCGAAGCTAGAAAGCACAATGAAGCGTTAGCTCAGGATAAAGCAAGTTTGCTTGATTCACTGAAACGAACGAATGAAGACTATATTTTATTGAAGAAGAAGCGAATACAAGACGTACGTTTCTTTTGATTATATCACCTAATCTTTTTTATTTACAAGTAGTTCATTACCATTCCATTACCATCTATAAGAGTCCACTGCTGAACATAGGCCTCGTAGTTTGCCTAATGATAATGGCAAATACCTTCCCGCAGTTTTTTTATTATTTTGAGTTGTTATTGGAAAGATGTTGATGTCCATCTCCCGTTTAGTTTTCCCTGTGTCGCCTTTATGACACCCTCCGGACGATTATAGGGTAGTGGATATTTTTACACCGCTATCTACATCTACACGGTTTAGAAGTTACAAGTAGAAATTATATTGAAAAAAAAACTAGGTTATTGAAAGAATTGTAATTCATATTAATAGTGTTACAAACGATTCCATAGCCTGACGTTTTCATGAACTTAATTTTTACTTTGATTATTTTTGGTCTTACAATTAGTTTTTCACTATTTGCTATTCATGTTAGCTCTTTTGGATGTACTTTCCAGTCAGTTATGGCAACACACCTTTGTTAAGCATATTGTAGGTGTTTATGGGCCACATACATAACTATTGTTTTTTTTTTATAGAATAAGAGTGTACTCGTTGCACACAGTCCAACTGATGGTAAGTGGATGCTGTGGCCCATAGACATCTACATTTACCTTCAATTAAGAATCAAAATGCAGATGCGTTGTCACCTCTGAGGACTAAGATGGAATGCCTCGTTTCCCGTAAAAGGGGCCTCTACACTCACCATACGAAACACAGCAGCATTAAGCTGCTATTTTACGCTGGTATTCTGTGAGAGCGTGGTCCTACCCCGGTCGAGCCGACCCATTCGTGCTGCAACCACAACATAGCTGTAGCATGGCTCTTTCACGTAAAATATATCATATATCCTACCATGAAAATAATTCTGTATTAGTTTGTTGTATAAAGCCCTGGTTCGCTCAGAATTTACGTTTACGGACAACCCAGTTTAAATTCCTGCTAACGCTAATGACATTATTAATTGCAATTATAGTGTTGATTTTCCATTTACTCGGCCGTGAAGTAAATATCGTGAGGAAACTTGCGTATCTGAGGAATAAAATATTTTTCAGATATGTGAAGTCGCTAACGTGCGCTGGAGCAGCGCGGCGGTTTAATTGCTCTATAGCCCTCTCAGAAATGAAAGGTCTATTTTTTTAATCGATGAAAAGATAGAATCTCATCTGGGTGTCGTAAAAATAGACTATTAGGCAGGTGACATCTTCGTCTTAGTAGTTAATTGCTTGAGTGATTAGAAAGGGGGGGTGGGGTTGCGGGTGTGGGGGGGGGGTTGGTGTACTGTTTATGGCACTGTCACGTGACGTGTTATGTGATCAGGAAACGGTGGTGTCGTTTAATAGCACAATATCAACCCATCATCAGATTGTCTTATAGAAGGGGCACAGACTGTGGGGCATTCCATCTTAGTCCTCAGAGGGCACAACGCATCTGTGGTCTATTTATCCTGACGTTGGCAGCAGGTGGTCATTGCAGTAGCCATTTACCATCAGGTAGACTATGAATTCGTTAGTTTAACAAAAAAGCAATTTTAGTTGAAAAGTTGAAAGAAATTTTATAAAAGTCTCAGAATGCGGCTCACCTGATGGTAAGAGACTGCCGTCATCTTGAACAGCATCAACACCTGAGGAATCGCGTAAGTGTCGGTCTTTGAAAAAGGAAAGACTTATTTTTAAAAGTATTATTAGTAGTATTCTCTCTGTTGCATTGTTTTTAATTGCTCAGCTTCACACGTTGCAATTGGCGCATGAGAAGGAACTAATGCAGATGAATATGCAGCTATATCCGTTGCAAGAGGAGATCAAACTTTTGAATCGTACCGTGGAGATTTTACAAGAAAGACTGCGAGCGGCGGAAGAAAAACTATTAAATTGTCGCTCTGGTGTAAAGGATCCTGACCTTAGAGCTGGCGGTGATAATCCAAGTTCTAGGAATATCCGTTGAATTTGTTTACATTTATGTATTTACCTTCAAATAATGTTAAATACTGAATATTGTTTAATGGAAGTGATAGATAGAAGTTATCTTGGGTAAGGTTTGAAATTAAGTCGTAAGAGTTGTATAGTCGCCCCCCACTTTCCCCTGCCGGACGTGCTTAGTTTCTTTTTTAATTTTTAAAAAGATCATGTTTTCGTAATGTTTTTGACAATACAAACCTGATTTATGGGGAAGAGAGTTGGGGGCGGGAAGCTCCACGCCACTCAACGTAGCGCAGTCGAGGGAAGCCGGGTCAACGGAGCCTCGCTTCGCGGCGCTCCTACTTCTGAGTGGTTAATGAAAAAATAAACCTGTGCGAGTCGGGGTGCTCTAAGTACCGAGCTCGCTCCGTTCGCTATTACACTCAAAAGAACACCAAGATATTAACTTTTATAATTACTTTAATTATAAACATAATTTATAGCTACCACCATTTGTAAAAAAGGATCCAGAGGGGTAGCGAAGTCGTCGAAAAACGGGTGGAGGCAGATAAAAACGTTAAGGAGCACATTCACGTAAATTCGGTAGGGAATGACGTAACGTATATATCTGTCACTGTCAACAAAATGGCCGGCGTAGCAATATATTTTACGCATTTTTTGATGACTGATAGATGCAACGTCAAAAATGTTAGAATTTAGTTAAATGTACGTTCCATTTCACGTTTAGTTAGTGATTTACCAATATTTAAAAAAATAATTAAAAATACTTCGACGCTGCTCCGGTAGCAACAATCTAATGGGAGTTTTTCAGATAAACCCTCTTGACCCCCCCCCCCCCATAGTGACAGAATCCTTAAATTCAGGCGACTTAATTTCAAACCCAACCCGTTATCTTTTCAACCGACTTCGAAAAAAGGAGGAGGTTCCCATGTGTCTTTCTGGGTGAACCGATTTTGATGATTCTTTTTTATTTGAAAGCTAGTGCTTCTCATGTAGTCCCATATAAATTTGATCGATATCTGACCAGTAGTTTTTGAGTTATCCTTAATAACGCGTGTTTATTTGACTTTGGCTACATTGATGATGTTCTCATTTTATTTATATTGAAGTCGGTTGTACAATTTTTTTAGTTTTACCTACTGGTTTCCTGTTAGTTTTAATTATTTGCGTAAAGCTTTCGTCTATTGTATATTTTAAGTAATAATTACCTCTATCACATTGCGCATTAAGACGCCATTTGGTTTTACTTGTGGGTTTATATTCATTTCATCGCGCTGTTTTTGTCTGTTAGTAAATATAGGCACGATTTTCTTCCGTACCTACACCCATGTAATTGATATTTATTTGTAAACAGTATGCGTATTTTAAGGTTTTGTAAGGAAGCTCGACGGGACCACGTTAAAGATGACCTAATTTTTGCGTATAGTGTATTAGTGCCTGTCTAGTGGTCATCGTTTTTGTACTGTGATGTTTTAGTACTTATTATAAACACACAAAATACTATGTAATATAGAAATAGTCTCCTCGAAACAGCTTATTGAGTAAGGCCTATAGTGAGTTGTATATCTAGTCAGATATTTTCATGGCATTTTTACCTTGCAATATACGAATAATTATTGTGGTGCCTTCATAGATGTATTGAATAAATGATATCTTTATATATCTATTGAGTTTTATTTATAACTAGTAGTACCTGGCCGCCCGTTGCTGTCAGTGTTGCCACTTTAGCGACTTTGTCGCTAAATCTAACGAGTTTTTTGTTAAGTTGGGGAGTTTAATTCAATGTTTAGCGACAAAAAATATTCTGGCGACTTTTAGCTACATTTGCACTTACTTCAATTTTTGTTACCATCTGACTACTTTAGGCGTAAGGAATACTATACTCTATCAGTTAAAGAAATAATAAAATCTAAAGGAACCGAAACAAAGGTTCTCTGGATGTCGCTTATATAATAACACATAAAAAAGTACAACTACATTCCATCACCTATATGTATAATAATATTAATGTTAGATGAATATATTGTTCGATTTTATCTTTGTTTCGGTTTTTTTAATAAAATTAAATTTAGCGACATTTGGAGACTTTTATTGTTACTAAATTCATGTATAACTAGGGACTTTTTGACGGCAGTCTAGAGACCTGCGGTAATTCAATGTGGCAACACTGGTTGCTGTGGCTAGGGTTACCAATTTTGGAAAGGACCAGCCCGGGAGAATTTTATGTAATCGAGTAGGGGGGGGGGGGAGAAAATATAATTTTTAAATTAATAAATGATTGAGATTTTCTTCCCTAAAAAATTATTTACTTTGCTTTTGAGCAACATCTAATATTTGTCGATGTCGCAAAGCGGGTGCGAGCGAGGGATGCATATAATTTTTAGAAAAACCGGAGAAATTATTGCACCCCGGGAGGTCGGAAGATTAACTATTATTACCGGAGTCTCCCGGGCAATCCGGGAGAGTTGGGAAGCCTAGCTGTAGCTCCAACAATTAAGGTATGTAAGATCACGTGAGTTGTTGAGGGCTTATAATTTTCCGCTCGTTAGATGGCTCTAGTTGACACTGAGGTGAAGTTACATCATGTAATTTAACTGAGAAGTTAGTTTTAAATAAAAGTTTATCAGTTTCACGACTATTATACAACATGTAACAAAAACCCTGTGGTTCCCGTTAAGTGCGTTATCAGAATCAGTATCCATGCGTATAGAAATATTTTTTTTTCAATAAAACATTAAAAAAAAATATTTTAATGAAAAAAAAAATATTTGCAAATTGTTAGTGGTTTTATTATCTCTGGATTGGGCAAGGAGTAAGAGGATTGTCAAAGACCTCGCATTACCGATACGAGGGCTGCACTAAAAGTATCGGGAATGGAATATTTCCACTGTTCCTGTCATATTAAAATCCTTTCAATTGAAAACTCCTTGGTTTTAAAAATCGAATACCATTTATTTATTTAAAAAAAGATTCTCGGTCTTGTTACAAGGTTTTGTCAAACTTGTTTAGTCGTTGAGAAAATGGAATTGACTCGAGAAAATTCAAGATCGATTATTTATTATGACTTTCGAAGTGGTTTAACACAAAAACAGTGTGTTGACCGAATGATTTCTGCAGTTGGTGATGAAGCCCCATCCAAAACCACAATTTATCGCTGGTTTGCTGAATTTCTACGTGGACGTGTCAAGCTCAGTGATGATCCCGTCAAGGTCGTCCAAAAACTGCAGTCACCCAAGTAAACGTTGATGCTGTGCGTAAGCTGATTGAGGAAGATCGACATGTGACATTGTACCGCGAAATTCAAGCAACTTTAGATATTGGCTTGAGTCAAATACAAATAATCTTGCATGAACAATTAGGTGTAAAAAAGTTGTTTTCCCAATGGATACCGCATTCGCTCTGTGAAGGGCAAAAAAGCGGCTCGCGTTACTTGGTGCGTCAGAACTCTCGAAAGATTCCACGCAGGATCCTCAAATGCTGTATACAACATCGTATCAGGTGACGGATCCTGGATATACGCGTACGAACCCGAAACAAAAAACCAGTCACGAGTTTGGGTGTTCGAAAATGAGTTAAAGCCAACAAAAATTGTTCATTCACGGAGTGTTGCAAAAAAAAAATGGTGGCCACGTTTGTCTCCAAAACCGGCTATGTTACGACTATTCCTCTTGAGGGACAAAGAACGGTTAATGCAGAATGGTATGCTAGCATTTGTTTGCCACAGGTCGTTTCTGAACTCCGTAAAGAGAACTGCAACCGCCGCATCATCCTCCGTCGCGACAATGCGAGTTCTCACACCGCACACAGAACAAAAGAGTTTTTAGAGCAAGAAAACATAGAATTGTTAGACCATCCGCCGTACAGCCCCGATCTAAGCCCTAATGATTTCTATACTTTCTCTAAAATATTTTTGTTACATGTTGTATAAATACACAAAACAATGCCTTAGTGGTTTGTTCAACAAGTATAACACACACAGTATAACAAGTGCTCTATAATTACAAAATGTGCAAATACATTAATAATACTAAAAAAACTACTTTTTGGAATGTCCGTAGATGAGTTTATTTAATCTAATTATTATGAAATTTAACTAATATTACAGAAAGAAACGTTCACACTTCCATTTTAATAACCATAGAATACTATAATACATACATAATAGAACGGGGGAGTGGGCGAAGCCCGTGTCTAAAATAAAAAGTCTACTATCACTTCAATTCATACGTATAAATGTCTTGACGTTACAATCGTTTCCAAATTTCCCATGCAAATTATTTAGAAAATGCCAAATTGCACGCTATTTACAAATTAATATGTATTAAAATCTGTCTGTCAACACAGCGAATCGGGTTTGTAGTAGTGATAATACCACGTTATTGCTTGTATGTGTGCTCCCGGCGACGCCTATCCTCGTACAAAATAAGCTTGACAGCCATTCTATTGTGTATTATAGTATTCTATGTTCATAACATATTAACTTCTTTGCCATAAAATCTGTCAATTATTTTACCTCATTCCAAAGAGGCGTTGCCCCGGTGATCATAATTTCAAAGCTATCGGTGAAGAGCTTACGGAGATTAAGACTTTAATTATAAAGATGTCATAATAGAAACTGACATCCTCTTAAACTTATTAAAGAAACGACTTCTGAACCTGTGGCAAAGTTGTTTGGAACGTGTTTTACTTGCTTAAGATAGGACTGATAGGCTTGAATTCAGAAGTTGCTGGAAAGCTTTCGTAAATACGAGTAAAACAACAAAAGCACTTACTACTTGACTGTATTATTTCAAATTATTTTTAAGTAAAATTTTTTTATTAGAAAAGTAAAAATGGGCGAAACCAGGACTTAAAAACCGAAATAAAAATAATATTGAGATTATATATATTTATATAGTGATGGTGAGAAGGGTGATGGGAGTATATTGCCAAAAAAAAAATAAAAATAAAAAATCAACAAGCACAGAATTAAACCCATTTTCCTAAAATAAGAATAGTTTTGTTATTTTTTTATTATTTCATCTC